TTTAAAACCTATTTTGTCTGACAGGAGTATTGCCACGTCCGCTTTCATTTTGGTTATTATTTACATGGAATATCTTTTTTTCTATCCTTTTGCATTTAACCTCTTTGTGTCTTTGTATCTAAAGTGAGCCTCATGTAGATTGCATATAGATGGATGTGTTTGTTTTTATTTTTTGTTTATTTTTACTGAGGTAGAATTTAATATAATATTTAGCTTCATGTGTAGAGCATGACTTGGTATTTGTATACACTGCAGCATGATTACCATAATAAATGTAGTTAACAGTCATTTTACATAGTTACAGAAATGTTTCTTTTATTTCTTTTGATGAGGACTTAAGATCTACTCTTAGCAAGTTTTGAATACGCAATAAGATATTACTAACTGTCACCATGCTATACATTACATCCCCATGACTTACCAACTTCATAACTGAAGTCTATACCTTTTGATCCCTTTTACAGCCCACCCCCCGCCCACCCAAGCAACCACTAAGCTCTGTATCTGTGAGCTGCTTTTTCTGTTTGTTTTTTAGATTTTACATATAAGTAAGCTCATATGGTATTTGTCTTTCTCTGTTTTGACTTCATGTATCATAATGCCCTCAAGGTCCATCCTGGTGTTGCAAATGGCAAAGATATCATTGCTAAGTAGTATTATAGACACACACATATACATATACCCCATATCTTTTTTTATCCATTTATTGATGACACTTAAATTGTTTCTGTGTCTTAGCTACTGTAAATAATGAAGCAAAGAACATAGGTTTGCACATATTTTTTGAATTAGTGTTTTCATTTTCTTTGGATAAATACCAAGAAATGCAATTGCTGAGTCATAACAGTACTATTTTTTTTGAATCCTCACCTGAGGATATATTTATTGATTTGAGAGAGAGAGAGACAGACAGACAGACAGACAGACAGACAGACATCGATGTGAGAAAGAAACATCAATTGGTTGCCTCTAGTACAGCTTAGGTGTGTGTCCGGCTGGCCGGGAGTCAGACCTGCAATCTGTTTGGTGTACGAGATGAGGCTCCAGCCACCTTAGCTACCTGGCTGGAACTGGTGGTTCTTTTTTTAGAGAGGGAGAGATTCATATGGGGAGAGACACATCTCTTGGTTTCCTCTGGCATGTGCCCCAACTGGGGCTGGGGATCGAACCTGCAACCCAGGTACATGCCCTTGACTGGGAATCAAACCCACAATCCTACTATGTACAGGCCAACACTCTAACCACTGAGCATACAAGCCAGTGCTGGTAGTTCTATTTTTATTTATTTTTTTATTTTATTTAATTTTTTTTATCCTTACCCAAGGACATTTTTGCATTTATCTTCAGATAGAGTGGGAGGGAGACAGGGAGGAAGAGAGAGAGAAACATCGATGTGAGAGAGACACATAGACTGGCTGCCACCCACACGACTCCAACCGGGGCTGGGGACAAACTGCAACCGAGGTACGTGCCCTTAGCAGGAACCGAACCCGGGATTCTGGTCTGCGGGCCGACTCTCTAAGTGCTGAGCCCAACAGGCCAGGGTGGTAGTTCTGTTTTTAATTTTTTGAAGAACAAAATACTATTTTTCATAGTGGCTGCAGCAAATAACATTCCCACCAATAGTGTGCAGTGTTTATTTTTAAATCCAGTCTGCCAAGTTCTTCCTTTTATGGACAAGTTTAACTCATTTACATTTAAGTAATTATTCATAAGGAAGGGCTTATTTCTGTCATTCAGCTGTTTTCTGTGTGTATTACATAGTTTTTCTTCTTTAACTTTTCTATTACTGTATATTTTTTGTATTTAATTTTATTTTTTTGTTGACCTGCTATTTTGATTCCCTTCTTTATTTCTGTATAATTTTTAGTTATTTTCTTTGTAGTTGCCTTAGGGATTACCATTAGCGTCTTAAAACTATAACAACCTAGTTATAATGATATAAACTTAATTTCAACAATATATAAACACTCTGTTCCTATACATTTATACCCTTACTTTTGCATTGTTATTGTCACAGATTGCGTTTTTGTACATTGTATGCTCATCAACAGAGATTTATAATTATTGTTTCATGCATTTGCCTTCTAAATCATATAGAAGGGAATACAGGAGTTATAAACAAAAAGTAAAGTAACGTTGGGTTTTATTTTTACCTATGTAGTAAATCTTTATAATCACTCTTTTTCTTTTTCTGTCTGATTTATTGTTTAGTGTTCTTTCATTTCTGCTTGTAGGACTGTATTTAGCATTTCTTGCAGGACAGGTTTGCTGGCAAAAATTATCCATTTTTATTTTTATTTTGTTAATTTGGGATTGTCTTAGTTTCTCCTTCATTTTTGAAGGGGGTTAGTTTTGCTGGATCTGGAATTCTTGGCTTAAAATTTTTTTAAATTTTATTGTAGGACTTCAAATATGTTATTTTATTCCCCTACCTTTTGGCTCTCATGGAAGAAATTCGATATTAATTTTATTGAGGATCCCTTGAATTTGACAATTTATTTCCCTCTTATTGCCATAAAAATGATCTCTTTCTTTGTTTTTTAGAACTTGATTAGAAAGTTTCTACTATGAACTTCTTTAATAGTCTGCTTAGAGTTGATAAGCTTCTTTAATGTGTATGTTTATGTCTTTCATGAGATTTAGGAAGTTTTCAACCATTATTTCTTCAAATATTTTTTCTGCCCCTTTCCCTTTCTCCTGGGAATTCTGCGATGCACACGTTTGTATTCTTGATGGTGTACCACAGCTCCCTCAGCCTCTGTATTTTTCTTTATTCTTTTTTCTTTTTTGCATCTTGGATTGGATCATTTTTAATTTCCTTATCTTCAAATCACTGATCTTTATTCTCCATGCTCCAGTCTGCTGTTGAACCCCCCGAATTAATTTTTCTATTCTTTTTTTTTTGGTATTTTTCACTTCCAGAATTTCTGTTTGATTCCTTTTTATAATTTCTGTGTCTTTATTGATAGTCTCATTCTGTTCATATATCATTTTTCGGTTTTCCTTTAGATATTTGTCCATAATTTATTTTAGCTCATTGCGTATATTCAATTTAAGACAGTTTATTAACTGTTTTTGACAAGTAATTCCAAAGTCTGAGCTTCTTTAGGCATAGTAAACGTTCTGTCAAATTCTTTTTTTCGTGGGCTTAGGCAATGTTCTCTTTTCTTTGCATACTTTGTCATTTTTTGTGATTGTTGAAAACTTGCATTTGAATATATTACAACACTGGAAATCTGATTCTGCCACTCCTTATAGATAGCTGATTTTTTGTTTGCTGAGGTCTGTAGCCATTTGTGTTTGACTTTTCCAGATAAGTTTTGCAAAGTGTACATTCCTGGTGTGTGGTCACTGAAGTTTGGGTTTTATTATCTCCGGTGTCAGCCAGTGATTTGACACAGATTTCCTTAAGTGTCTGGTTCCAAATTGCAGAGGAATTGTTTCTGTCTATTCAGATCTTCTGATTGATATCATTGAGAGTTGCTGCTGCAACCCAAGAGGGTTGAAACCAAGGCAAACGTTTTCACTGTTCCTTCAGGGAACTGTCAAACCAAACCAAAATGTACTACTCCAAATTTTGGAGAACAAGGCCCTACTGCCTACCCTGGCATCACCTGCTCCTACAGGAACACACAAGCTATCCTCACAGCGATGCTGAGGAGTGGAGTATGGTATCTATTTTGTGCATGTCATTCTCTTACCAGAAAACACCAGTGTCTCTCTGCATGAAACACTTACTTGTTGTAAGTATTCACTCATGTTCTAGAGCTCTGAAATTGTTTATTTAAATCACTCTTTCTAGCTCAGTGTTGGCTTTGCTGAAGGACTCATCTCTGGAACTTCCTTCTTTGCCATTTTGTGTCAATCCCTACTTTCTTTCTTTTGTTACTCCTCACTCAAGGATATTTTTCCATTTATTTTTGGGTGGAGTGGAAGGGAGAGAGAGAGAAACATCGATGGGAGAGAGACACATCGATTGGTTGCCTCCCACATGATCCCCGACCAGGGCCGGGGAATGATCCAGGGACATGCCCTTGACAGGGAATCAAACCTGAGACCCTTTGCTCCCTGGACTGACACTCTAATTGCTGAGCCAAACCGGCCAGGGCTTAATCCCTGCTTTCCTAATTCTTTCTTTCTTTTTCTTTTAATTTATCTTTGTTGTTGAAAGTATTACAGATGTCACCCCCTTTATACCCCCCATTGACCCCCTTCCACCCTGCCTTCACCCCACTATTGCCTATGTCCATTGGTTATGCATATATGCATACAAATGCTTTGGTTTATCTTTTGAAAAATCCCATACAAGTCCCCAAAAGGTTGGTTACAGGCTAATGCAATAATAATCAGAACTCTACCAAAGTCCAAGATAGACCAGACTGGGAAGAATTAACCAACTCTTACACATCAGACCTGAGCATGTATCAGATTTCAGAACTTTTGCTTGATTTTCCATTAAAGCGGAATGCATTATATATTTATATACAGATATTGTAAATAATGGGCAATTATTTTTACAGGCTTCGTGTGTTATAAGATTGAAAATGATCCCAAATTTAGCCAGTTATGAAAAGTACAATTGACTTATTATTATTATTATTGCACATGAGTTAATGTCTTCATAGTATTTTTCTGTATGGATTGACTAATTATCATGACAGAAAATAAAGCTTAAAAAATTATGTTATATATTTAAGACCCAGAGGCTAGTTCTTTTATTGCTATGTGATGTCATTTATGCCTATATTATTATTTGTTTAACTTTTACATACTGTAGTTCACAGTAACCAAATATATTTATATACTTATTCACATTAAAATATAGTTCATTTTTTGGTTAACTTTTTAGGAAGAAGGGTTGGAATCATTGGTTCTATTATAGAGCTAGTCAGAAATTTATCTGTTACTCTAAATGATCACTTTTAGAGTTGTTAATGCATGTTTAATAATTCTAATAATAAAATACTAATCACTTGTCCTTTTATGTTTCTTTTTAGAATCTTGTGAAGCATCTTCCAGAGCAGAAGGTGCTCAGTGAATTAGCACAGCTGAAGAACGAGTATGATGACCTTTGTGAGCCTGAACAATTTGGAGTTGTGGTACGTATCTAGCGTACGGCCCCCAAACTCACCTGGGAGGTAACACTTCTCAGAAACAGTGAAAAGAAAGACATTTTATTCATCAACTTTTGTTTTACTATATAGCTACATAATTAATATGATGTGGGCTGTCTGGCAAAAAAAACTCCTTGTTTATTATTATTTATTTGTCATGGTATTGAAAAATAAAGAAATGTTTATATATATTTTTAAAGGTTTATTTTTAATTGAGTCTAGAGAGAGGAAGGGAGGGAGGGAGAGAGAGAGAGAGAGAGAGAGAGAGAGAACATTGATGTGTGAGAAAAACATAGATTGGTTGCCTACCGCAGGCACCCCAAGTGGGGATTGAACCCGTAACCTGGGTCTGTGCCCTGACCAGGAATCAGACCCCTACCTCCAAGTGGGGATTGAACCCGTAACCTGGGTCTGTGCCCTGACCAGGAATCAGACCCCTACCTTTTGGTGTACGAGACAGTGCTCCATCCATCAGAGCCACACCAGTGAGGGCTTAATATTTATATCTTATAAAATATTTCAAAATATCTTATGGGAACTTACTCCATACCAGTGCTAATATTTAATTTTATTAATATATGAAAAATAGTATGTATACTATAGTATGTATATTATTTTATTGGACTTTTTTTCTATTCAGATCTTGATGAGAGACTTTGGCCCGCCAATTGTAGGCTGATAAAAGGGATACTAATTACATAATTAGCTATATTTTAGACTTTTTTGTGGTATATATTATGTCAGAAAAAGCGGAGAGTTTTCAGATTTCCTACAGAGTGTCATTAATTGATTAAAAGTTTCGAATACACCCTTTCAAGTGGAAGGAGTATCTCATAAATGCACTATACGCGTTAGTGTGATTAAATCACTATTGAAAGTATTATGGTTCCTTATCCCCTCTGCATTTTAAGGGGTACAAAAGATGGCTAGGTGCAAATTATGTCTTAAAGAATACAGTTACATGTTGTTCAGTACTCCCCAAACCTGTTATTTAAATAATTGCCACCCAAAAAAAGAACAAAAAAACATGGTGGGAAAGAGGACATGATGATTTATTTAATTTCTCCGAGAAAGTGCTGTTTTTGCCTTCGGTGCCCAACGCAGGTTTGTTGGCTGTGGGAATAAACTGTTCCCGCACAGCTGCCAGCTCCAACCTGGCTCCCCGAACACTCCCATCTGCCTACTACGCCTGAAAATTACCATCAGCCTAATAGTCCAACACAGTGTCAGCTGCATCCAAACTCTTTCATAACCTTTTTAATAGTAATACATTGAATCGATCCGATTTGGTCGTTTGCAATTTCAAAATCCTGTTTAAAGTCAAAATGTGATAGATGGGACAGAGAATGTTCCTTCTGAACATGTGAATTAACAGCTTGCCCATATTTAGAGTTTATTAATTCTCAGCTATGGCGTTGCGTGCAGTGATCTAGGAGGATTCCTTCAAATCCCCGAAAAGCAAATCAGGACTGTATATTTGGGATGAGATAGAGCAGGTAAGTATACCTGAGGAAGATACTTCTCCTAGTTTTGATTTAGGTAAATTAATCTGAACTGGCTAAAGATTATTTATGAAGTGGCAGCACTTTAGCACAGTATTAAATAATAAAATTTTCTGGACCAAAGTCCACACTGAAAACCTAAGCTGCTTGAATTCATATTAGAATCGAAGCTCGGCTGTGGACCATCTGAGAATTCCGCTGTGTCATGATGGTTATGAGGCTTACAGTCGGTACGCTACACAATTTCTCTGAAGCCATTTTTTTTCTGAATGTAGTTTATCTTGGAAGATGTATTAGTTTGCCAAGCAAGTCCTTCAAGAGGAATATCCTTGGTACCACACTGAGGAAATGAAGTTTGGAGACATAAAAAGCAATATACCTTCTGAACTTAAAGCAAAATAGAAGATGGAAGAGATTTCTTGTTTATGCACATAACCGTAAATAATTCTGGGCTGTGAACATGAAGTCACCTGGTCCTCTTTTTTCCTCCCTCCATGCTTAGCTACATGTCTGCAGGGGAAAGTCAAGGACATCACAAAGTGGTTTGTGCTGTGTGAAGTTTCTAAGCAGTGTCAATCAGCATTTGCCAAATAAAGTTCTTATATATTGACAAAAAGATATTTGCAGTAATGGTATGCCTCAGTCTTTTTTTTTTTTTCTTTATTGATTTTTTAGAGAGAGAGAGAGAGGAAGGGAGAGGGAGAGGGAGATAGAAACATCGATGAGAGAGAACATAGATTGGCCGCCTCCTGCACGCCCCCCACTGGGGATCGGGCCCACAACCTGGGCATGTGTCCTGACCGGGAATCGAACTGACGACCTCTTGGTGCATGGGTCGACGCTCATCCACTAAGCTACACTGGCCGGGCGCCTCAGTCTTTATTTTTATATATATTTTTAATCCTCATCTGAGAACACTTTTGCACTTATCTTCAGATAGAGTGGGAGGGAGAGAGAGAAAAACATCGATGTTAGAGAGACACACCGACTGACTGCCACCCACACGACAAGCATGGTACGTGCCCTTAGCGGGAACCGAACCTGGACTCTGGTCCACGGGCTGATGCCCTAACCGCTGAGCCAAACCGGCCTGGGCAGGCGCCTCGGTCTTTTAAGCATGTATGCTTTGCAGTGCTTAGGACAAGTCTATATACAATAGACAACTGAAAAATGTTTATTGAATTAAATTATAGGACAATGATTAAACCCAAGTGGGTGCCTGAGATGAAAAATCGCGTATTTTAGATGTGTAGACGTGAAAATTACGCTAAAACATGTATCTGCTGTTTGGTGCCGAAATTCACTTCACTCTGTGTGGACATTCCCAAATACTCTTTAACCCTCACATTTTATCAGCAGCCTACATGTAGCACAGCTCTGACAATGTGTAGCATCATCTGCACAAATGACAGAGGCCCCAGACTGGTTGTCTTGCCTTTGCTGTCTTCCCCTCTCAAAACAATTAGTGCGGTCGTCTGAAAATCTCTCGTCATCCTAGGACACCGGTATCAAAAACCTTCGGTGTCTCCCAGAAGTTACAGATCAAAACCCAAGCTCCTTAGCATTCTCCTTCCGCCTCTGACTCTCTGGCTTTATATCTCCCTGTTCTCTTTGGTGCGCTCAGTGAATTGGTGTCTTTATGACATTTTAGCTTTTACCTCAGCGGGACTCTCATTGCCATTTCAGCAGTTATTTTACTTGTTTCTATTCAGTGGTCTTTCATTTTTTCATAGCAGCTGAATCATTTCTTGCCTGCCCTCTGCAAGTCTTCTGTCCCTCCCCTCCCTGTTCTTCTCACTTACTACAAACAACCTCATCTCTCACTCACCCTTCAGCTTCAGAACCTCCAATATCTCTTCTGCCTACCAAGTCATCTCTACCCTTGTCTTTCAGTGACGTATTCTCTATCAAACTTCAGAAAGAGGGATATTTTATGCATTATGATTAATATTGTTGCTGTCATTCGTGACAGCAACAAAAGTGCATCGAGCCCTTACTGTGTCCGAGGCCACGCTAAGTGAACAGCATCTCAGGTATTGCTCACAACCTATGAGATTGCTACTATCAATAGCTCCATATAATGGATCAGGAAACAGACCAAGGAAGGCCGGGAAGCTTGGGCGAGGTTACACCAGAAGTAGTAGAACCATAATGCAAACCCAGCCAGCCTGACTTCACAGACAGTGCTTTTAACCACTGTTCTGTACTGCTGTGAGTGTGTGTGCGCATGTGTGTATGTGTGTGAGGTGCTCTGCTCTGTGCTAATTTACTTATCTCTGCTCGGGGCATTGTTATCCCCTGACTACTTTAGTTGTGCATTCAGTTTTTCAGTCTCCACCACACTCTTCTCTCCAGAGGGAAAAAAAATCTGCCTGGCCGGTGTGGCTCAGTGGATTGAGCGTCGTCCCATGGACTGAGAGGTCCCCGTTCAATTCCCAGGCAGGGCACATGCCGGGGTTGCTGGCTCGATCCCCAGTAGGGGGCGTGCAGGAGGCAGCTGATCAATGTTTCTCTCTCTCGCTCTTCCTTTTTCTCTAAAAAATCAATAAAAACTCATTTTAAAAAATGTTCTTCAGTCACTCAGTGCCCGAAAATGAATGATTGGATAGCTGGAGAGATGGATGAGTAAAAATTCTTCATTGGCCCAAAGTCTCTGATACCTACCTTCCCTCTCTCCATTTCCTAGCATCAGTTTTCAAAGATTAGTCCCCTCTGACTCTACTGCCTTACCTTCAATGAACAGCAACCAGAATTCTGCCTTAAATAATGCCCTGAAACTGATCTATGAGAGTTCCTTAATTAGCTCCTAATTTCATCGAAAATGCACATCAGCTCTCCTCCCTTCTCTTTATCTTTGCTGTCACCACTTTAGCCCAAGCCAGCAGCATCATTCCTTTTAACCATTATGCTATACTCTTAGCTGGTTTTTCCCGCTTGCACTTTCGCCCTTCTCCAAATCAGTCTCTGCAAAGCCATCGATGTGACCTTTTTAGGATGCATTTGTGTTGCATCATCATACTATTTATCTGCCTCAAGCATCAGTGACTTATATGGCACTAAGGCTACAATATAAACTCCGTACCCCAACTTACCACCTCTTCTACTTTTATCTCCTGCGGTTTGGAGTCTTTGTCATTATGCCTCAGCCGCTTGGTGTTTTTCGGTTTTTTAAAATTACCTGCTCTTTCCTGCCTCTGGCCCCATTATGCACGCTGCTCCCTGTCGCTGCCACTCACTACCTGCCTCTCTCCTGCTTCTTCCCGTCTCAGCTTCAGTTCATTCTCCCAGTGACACCTTCATTTACCTATCAATCACAATGAGGTCTCCCTATTGAATTCTCTCACAGCACGTTGTTTTCTTTTACTTTCTACAAATTATGGTTTTCAATTAAATGTTTATTTGTAACGTTTTTTAATTTAATGTCTGTAAACTCGCACTAGCTTGCAACTTCTTCTTCCTTGTTTGTTTGTTTTTTTTCAATCC